GGGCGGGAGGGAGGCTGTGCTGGCTCCACGCTGGGAATTTCTTCCCTGATTTCCAAAGCTGTTGCGTTTAAACCGGGCAGGAACGGGGCGGGAGTGCTAGCTGGGTGCTCGGTAGCTCCTGCCAATATGGTGGAGGCGCCCTGTGGGTCGCAGGTGTCCTGTTCCTGTGCCGCCTGGGCAGGGTGCCAGCGGACAGAGTCGCCTTTGTGTTAACGACACGGGCCAAGCGTTGGTCGGGACACGGGAGAACGAGGGTAGAGTTGCCATAACTTAGTGCCTGACTGAATTTCTTGTGTTTCTGTTGCAGATGGTGGCTCCTTAGGTGTGGCGTGGCGTGGCAACCAGAGTGTGATCATGGCAGCTGAGGCTTACAGCCCCTCTGAAGGTGGCCACCTGCCTCCGCCAGGAGGCTTAGCCCTTGCTCACTTGGATGACTCTGATAGACTAAGTAGATCCTACCCCACGGCGAGCAAGAGCAGGAAAAGTCGGCTCTCTCAACTCTGCCGGCTTAGAGCATCTCTGTCTGGTGAGTGCGGTGTTGGAGGCTGAGTTCATGTGTCATCAGTGACGGCGATGTGTTTCAGAGGGTTTCAGAGCTCCCTCCTCCCCTCACCAAACCTGGAGGCCATGGCAATAAGTAGCTGTGAGAAAGCAGCTGTTCCATAAGCCTCTGAGCTGTAGACAACTGCAGGCTGGGAGAGCTTACAAGGGACGTGTTGCTTGACAGGTGTTCTGCACTTGTACCTGTCCCTGGGCAATCTTTATTGGCTGCCTTTGGACCACCCCGACACCTTGTGTTATTACCTAAAACATGACAAATTTCCAAATAGAGAGAAAGATGTTGTCATACTGGATTCCGTTAGGAGGGGGAGAACTTTGCACTCTCCAATGTGTCCAGATATGAGACTCCCTGTTTTATCCTGGTGAGTGAATTCATACTGTATGCAGGGCATGAATGCAGAGATGTCCTTGCGATGAGCTGTTCGTAATGCTGCTTCCATGACTGCTACACCTTCAGCTTTCTGGTTTGAGAGTGGAGCGGTGGCATTCGGCTGCTGCTGCTTGCTGCCACTTCCCGAGGAAACGTTTTACAGGCAGAACTTTGGAAGATTTAGTACAATCGTTTGGCATTGTGTAACGTAAAATGCTGGTGTGGGCACAGGTATTTCATTGTCACATCTCGTGAACGGTTAATTACCTGGCTTCTGACTAATGCAGCATATAATAAGGGCTGGAACACTTACTGTAATTATATTTAATAACAGTTTCAATTTTAACTTGAGATATTTCAAAACCTCTTAAACTCTGCTAAGTGAAAAATAAAAGTTAACTAGTATGGTTGGATCTTATGGATGTTGGCAATTTTTTCTAGCCTACAGACTAATTTAATTTTAATTGTTCCAGTGGCTGCAATTCAAAAAAAAAAAGTTTATTAGAATTGTTTCTGCTTTCTTTAGTTTCATTGATTTCATTTTCTTGTAATTTCTTAAAAAATCTAGAAGCATATATTTTGGGATTACTTGACAGTTTCCTCAGATGACAACTAATTTTCTTTTTATTCATTCCTCTAGTACTTCTGTAGCAGACTGTTACAGCTAAATCGCTGATCTTTATCTTCTCGCAGGGGAGAAATGGAGCTCTTACTGTTTGTCTTCACTGGCAGCTCATAACCTTTGTACCAGCAAAACTGGTAACTCCTGGGCTCAGTGGGGTTCTGCCTCTCTCTCCACTTCCCTTGGAAGTTCTGCTTCTTGCTCCTTTTTGCACACCCTGGCCGTGGAGGAACCCAGCCAGCACCTCCCGACTGCTGCGCACAATCGAAACAAAGCCATCTTCACCGTGGATGTCCACACAACAGAGGTATTTGCTGTAGGAACTGCCAAAGGAAGCAGGCCACAGCTGGGGTGGGCTGCATGACCTCGGGCAGGCTGAAGTGCCTGTCATCCATGCGTGTGTCTGCAGTCACTCGGAGCATCAGGAAGGGATTTTTCAGTCTGCTCAAGCTCAGTAGTTGTCTAAAGACCGATAACGTGTTTGTTTCTATCACAGGTTGTAGTTGGCAAAGTGTACCAGACCATATCAGAAGCAGGGATGTCTTGAGTCTTTTTTTCAAAGAGAAAGAGGGAATAAAGGAGAAGGCAGCTGTGATGTGACACGAGGGGAAGAACGTGCTTCCAGCTTTCTGTCTGTTAAGTGCCAACCTTGGGATGGGTTTGTGGTGGCACGAGGTTTCTTCATCTGCCCCAGGAAATATTCCCTTTGCATTGGGAGGGAGAGAATTTTTCTGTTTCTGCCCTGAGAGTAAACATTAATACAAAATTGAGTGCTGCAAACTTTAAAGTGCTGTGCCATTTTTAGCTTGAACTAACAGTTTGGGCTTACCCATTTTGTAGGTGTTGAATCCTGACCTGGTCTGTAACACAGGCTGAAGCATGTCAGTGACTGGTGTGGTTACTGCGTGCCCTCAGGTGGGGGTGAAATTTTGTGGGCTGCCCAGGCCTTGTTTGCAAATAAAACTTTGTAGTTTCGCCTCCATGGATCTAATTATTTAAACGACACAAGAGGCTGGAGCAGGGAGGCAGTTAAAAGGAAGCAGGAAACCTAAAAGGAAAGCGATGTCTCAACCCTCTTCACCAAGAAGACCTGTGGGCAAGGGGTGTCCTAGAAAAAGAAGCTTTAGTGAGCTGTTTTTGAAGATTTCAGAATTTGAAAGAACCACTTCCAGCAAGAGGAAGGGATATTGTAAGGCATTAAAGCAACTACCCAAGGAGATGAAGATCTGTTAACAAAACCTACAGCTTTTATTCTTTGTTTTGTTTTTTTTTTCTGCTTTTCTAGATCCTAGTGGCTAACGACAAAGCCTGCAAGCTGCTTGGGTGCAGTAGTCAGGAACTCATTGGCCAAAAGCTGTCTCGCTTGATATCCAAATCCAGTCAAGAGCTATGGGAAGCGGTGGGTGAGGAGTACATAGAAACTGGTGAACGTTCGTCGGTGTTTTCAGGAACTGTGGTACGTGAAACATTCAAGTGAATATTCCCCACCATATACAGTGGTTTTGTAGGCTTGGGTTTGTTTGGGTTTTTTTTTTACATTTTCAATGTAATTTCCTGATATATTTAACTTTGTGGACATTTGGCAATTGTGTCATTTGTAGGACCGTTCGGTTTAAATGTGGGAATTCAGAGGGAGAAGATGGTTTGGGAGGCACCTGTGAGAGCCTTGCAGCTGCCAACATGTATAGTAGTGATGACTTGACCAAATCAGAACTTAAAAGTACATGAGAGTAAAAAAAAAATCATTTTATATATAGATTGCTCAACATGGAAAAACCTCTTCTAGAAAATTTCCCAATTGTCTGGTCTGTTAAAATACTTTAAAATTTATCTTAAACAGCTCTGTGCATATTATAAAGTCACAAGTCAGTCACATACTGTGAAGTGTCTGTGCCAAAACACCCCAGTGATATTTTGCCTATTATATTTAATATATATTATAAGAGAACTGCATAAGAAATGTCTCAAAATTATTTTCTTTTGCTGCTGTTGTGAGCTGTCCCTAGAAAATATTCGGGAAATGAGCTTGTGTTCTTCCTGGTGTGTTATTTTTGTACTGAAATTGTCAGCATCTCAGAGCTTCATCTTCCTGAATCCTCAATTGGATATGGGGTGGGGGGAGGGAAATAAAATCTAATTTTGATTTGGTGAAATCCAGGATTACAATTAAATGTCTGATAAAGGCACTAATTCTAAGCTACAGACATTCCAAGTACTTTATGGAAATCACTGTGGAATTCACAAACCCATTCTGTCAAGGTCACATAAACCCAATAAAAAGCTTGATATGAACCCTGCAGGTTATAAGATAAACAAACATTTTCTGATTTGGGAATGATCTCCTCCCATAAGAAATTAAACTGCTGGTTTTGCAGCTGGAAGCAAGAAGTGTGTTATAACGTAGAGTGTTCATGAACACCATGGGACATCCCCTAAACAAGGCATCCTTGCAAGGCACTTCTCTTGACCAAGGGATTAGATTGGCACGTTTATTCTGCTGAAGGAAATGCCTTTACACTTCCTGAGGCTGGGAGAGAAGACACAAAAGCAAGAATGACATTTTGTGTCTGATCTATTTGCAAACCTTTTCACCTCTGTATTAAAACTGTTTCTTCCAATAAAAACCTAGGAAATAGTCAAGAAACAATGTTTTTCTAACAATGACAGAGAGATATCTTGGCTCAATACCTTACTTGTTTGAAATTCTTGCTAGTAACCACAGTATTACCAAATTGTGACTCCATCTCTGAATCCTATGGAAAGGTCGATGTTGTAGGCCGTCTCAAGGAGAAGATCCCAGTCTCTGTCTGGCTGAGGCGAGTAAGAAGCAAGGACAACCAGCGCTGTGTGGTTGTGCTGGAACCAGTGGAAAGACTTTCAGCTTCTGTTTCCTTCAGGGTCAATGTGAGTGTTTTCCTAGTGATCAAAAGAGACTGCAGTTGGTGAGAGTTTATGAATGACACGTGGCTAAAAGCCAGTAGGCATGTTGCTATTTGTGAGCACGAGTGTGGGCATAGCACTGCCCGAAACCGGGACTGCATGTGCAGGACCTGTGCGTGCTCGCCCGTGTGGCACCCCGACACACTCGATGAGTCGCAGTAAAATACGCTGTTTCTCCCCTGAGGACATAGAATCACAGAAAGGTTTGGGTTGGAAGGGACCTCAGAGATCATCCAGTTCCAACCCCCCTGCCATGGGCAGGGACACCCTCCACTGCACCAGGTCGCTCAAAGCCTCATCCAACCTGGCCTGGAACACTTCCAGGGATGGGGCAGCCACAGCTTCTCTGGGCAACCTGTTCCAGTGCCTCACCACCCTCAGAGGGAAAATTTTTTTCTTATATCCAATCTAAATCTCCCCTCTTTTAGTTTAAATCTGAGGCTGAGTGATGGTTTGGCAGAGGGGTGGTTATTCATGGCAGGGATGCCCTTGTGAAGGCATCAGCTTGCAGAGGAAACATGCTGTTGGGTTCCCCCGCTTCTCCCCCACGGTGAGGAGCAGACTCTCTGCCTGGTAATGTCGGAGAAGTGTTGTGTTGTGCTGTGTCTGCTTTTACGGAGTTAGTTGCATCCCTGAAAAGACTGCAGGATGAAACTTCTTGCCATTTGCTTAGATATTTGCAGAAACTGCTGTGAAAGGATTGAGTGGACTGTGGCTAAAATGCTAAAATTCAAATAGTACTGTAAATTTTCTTCCCAAGGGAGAGATTACATCATGTGACCTCCTTTTTGCCCATCTCCATGGCTACCCAACCCTGGAAGAAGTAGTTGGGCTCCACATAAAGGACGTGATTCCTTCTGTGCAGATCCCTCCTCTAGGCAAAAAAATCCCAAAGGTACAGTATAAGCACCAGTCACGTTCTTCCAGACCTTTCCCGTTTGGAACATGAGTGCATGCTGTTTTCCCTCCTTATGGAACAGGAGAAAAAGCCTTTCCAGAGAGAAGCACAAGTCCCCTGAAAAAGAGTATGCTGCTTGTTTATGAAGCTGCTGTCCGAATATTTCCTGACTAGGAACGAGCCCGAGCCCTGACCTCTCGCTGTGGAATCTGTCCTGGTGAAAGATGCTTTTCTCCAATCCTGGCTTTTTAAGAAACCGTGCTGTCTCTGTCAGCTCCCTAAAATTCCTTTGACTTCTTTAGCTGAAGAATCCAGCTCTTGCACATGCCATGAAAATGGGCAGCTAGATGGTTGAAAGGAGCCTTAATAATGCCTCATTTGCTGAAAAGCTGCAGCATGGATTTTCCTGGTCTTCATCGTCAGGATATTCATACAGGTGTTCAGCACCAGATTCCAAATCCTTAGAAAAGCAGACTTCATTCACTTTGATATTCACAGGATTGATTCATTTCTCTGTTCCAACTCCTTTTGCCTGAGAACGTTCCTCTGTGATTTTGTGTGAATACTGAATATGAATATATGAATACTGAAATAAAACCAAAACATTTGGTTAGTTAGAGGTTTTCTGTTTTTTTTTTTTTTCTTCTTTAATTTAGAACCTCAGGATCCAGCAAGCTGTAGGCCGATCCAGAGAAGGCAACATGTTTCCTCTCAGCTTAAAGCTGCAAGTAAGCCTTCTGGAGGAGGACCAAGCGGCGGTGCAAGAAGATGGTGTTCCGCAGGCAGGAAAAGAAGAGTCCTTCCCAGACTGTCACTACTCTGCTGCAGTCGTGGTTTTCTCCACCATCAGTGGTCTTATTACTGTCCGGTCAGATGGAACCATCTGTGGCATCAAAGATAGTTTTGCTTTAACGCTCTTTGGCTATGAGAAGAAAGAACTGTTGGGAAAGGTAAGGTAGGAGTTTTAATCCCTCCCAGAAGACTGCTGTGTCTGGCAGTATATCCATTGCAATTGTAAAGTTGTCTTTTACACTCATTTATGTCTGTCACAAAACCTGTGTTCCATGCGTTTGGCGAGTGAGTTGTAGGATGATACGCAGATTCCCTGGCTGGAATGGCTCAGCCTTGCAGTGCTGAGAAGCCAGTACGGATTTCAAGTCTGTGTTCTCCATCCATCACGTGGATCACTTTTGCCTGGCTATTCATCAGAATGTGGTCCACAAACACGGATTGTTCACGTTTGCCCCCAACCTGGGAGAGTCAGCTTAGCTTCACAAGGTTTTGCTCTGTGTTTTAGAACATTACGTTCCTGATCCCTGGTTTCTATAACAACATGGAGAGAAGCAGTGCCTGTTCCTTGCCATTGCCTCCTCTCGACGACTCCATGGGGACAGAGAGTGAGCACATCTTTGAGGACATTAGTGCCTGCTGTCCAGCTGGCTCTGGCTGCTGGAGCAAAGGTAAAACGAACAGAGATGAGAGGTTTGCCCGGGAACACGCTTTGTGAAAGCAATGTACCTCCGTGCAGTTTTTAAATTGGAATTCCACCATAACCTAAGGTGAAGAGAATGGGTCACCTGAGGTTGTGCTGCTCTCTTTGTTGCCAGGAAGAAGAAACAGGAGATCTTTTATGCTGGTTTTGTCTCCTTTGGTGTTGGTTTTTTTTTTTTCTGTTTTCTTTTTCTCTCTTTTTTTTTTTTTGGTCTAGAAATGCACATCTGCATTGAAACCAATGCACACTACCTGAACAAAGAGGAGTTGGTAGACAGTGTGCAATTTCTGAGGTAATTCTTTGATGGACTGATGCCTCTCATCTAGGAGTAATTCAGTTCTTCAGTGAGGAAGCATTGTTGGCAGTCAGCCTTTACTAAATGGAAGGATTGTTCTAGACTGAAATTTAGATTTGTTCAGTCATTAACAATACTTGGTTTACTGCGTCTTACAAACCTGTGTTTTTCTCTTTTGATCTGTTATCACTGGGGAAGAAGAAGTTCTTGTCTTCTTCTTTCTCTTGAGCATGTTTAGACTACGTTTTGCCTTGCAATTTCAGGGAGTTATATAAATGCAGTCTAAACCTTTTGATTTGAAGTGTTTGGAATGGGGAGCATGTGTGTGGTTTGGGTTGAGTTTTTTGGGGTTTTTTTGCTGCTATTTGTATGATCACTTTATTTCCAGACTCTGTATGGTCATGGCCTTTTTTTTCGGTCTCTGAACTTCAGTCTAAGTAGCGAACCCAGAAGGCCAATACTTGACCAAGAGCTTTGACAGGAAGGCAAATTTTACCAGCCCTGAAACATTTAGATTCCTGCATGTGATGACTTCTCAGGCCACAGCAGACTGGAGTGCTCATATTTGGGCCACTTTGCCGTAATCAAGTCACTTTTATACTCAATTCCTTTGGGATGAGACAGAGCAAGGCAGTTCCAAGGCTGTTTTTAGTCACTGTAGTCTCTGAAGCCTAAACATAAATGCTAACTTGGTGTGGTTTTGTTTCTTGTTCGGTACAGACAGCAGCTTCTTGGCTGCATCTTCAGCAAGACTTCTGTCGAGAGATGAAGAGCAGAAATTGGAACAAAGACGCAGAGATGACGAATTAATACATGACGGGACTCAACAAAAGAATGGGACCAGTTTATTTTCTACTCCCTCACCTCCTAAAGTGGCATCCACACCCTCTAATAGGTAGGCATTCCGTGGACTGCATATTCACTTTGAAAAGCGAAGAGCCATGGTGGCAATCACCAGCAAAAACTACTTTTTCACCTCTGTGATGTCTGTGAGAAGGTGTAACAAGAGCCTACTGCACTTTGCTCTCTCTGGAACCTGAGCACTATTTGCAAGACAGGTGCAGTTTTGCCTGCCTTAGATTTTTGTTTAGATCTGTACAACCCACAGTTGTAAAGTTATAGAGTTCCATCTCTAAAGGAGACCAAACGCTTCACCCAGGCCAGGGATGGGGCATCTACAACTTCTCTGGGCAACCAGTTCCAGTGCCTCACCACCCTCTGAGTGAAAATTTTTTTTCTTATATCCAATCTAAATCTCCCCTCTTTCAGTTTAAATCCATTGCCCCTTGTCCTGTCACTACAGGTCTTTTTCCAGTTACGAAGCTGGAATTCTGCACAAGTACCTACATGATGCACATGGTTTACCTTGAGTCAAATTTTAAGCCTTCCACATTAACAATTCTAACCCTCAGTAAAGATATACTGCCCTCTTAATATGTAGACTATTACAGCACAGTTCTTGCTGCTTTTTGAAGAAACTGATGTCTCATTGTTTCCTGGTGCTCTCCTGGGTTTATGTCTCTTGTATCGTACCTGGATTTTAAGTGTTCTGCTGCGTGGATTGTTTTTCTGCTCCACATTTTTACTAATAGAAATGTTTGTAAAACACCTCATGCTAGATGGGCTTCAGAGAACCATGGTTACATTGATGGGTGGGGACATCCAGCTTCTGTTGGACAGACAGGGGATCTTCTGTTCTCAGGACTGGAAGTATCCTGCCATGTGTATTGGCTTTTTATTGTGATAAATGATTTATGAGACATATATATTTAGAAATTAAGCTAGAGAAGGAAGTAATCTTTTTTATTTGAGTGTACCTGCTCTACTTTGGTCAAGATGGAATTTGTTAGGATTTTGGATGCCTGTGCTGACAGCTTTCTGCCTTTCTCTTTTAAACTTAAAACTCGAACAGTTGGTGCAGCTTTTAAATAGTGACATAGTAACGGGAGTGGGTAGTGTACAGCATCCCGTATTCTCATCCTCTTGTCACTGATGACTTTGGCTCCTTGCAGCGAAGACAGCGTTGCTACCGATGGGCTGTCGGCCCACCATGGAGAGCCTCACCCTGAAACCTGGCCTGACAGAGTCGGAGCAGTGGAACAGTGTAGAACAGTGGCAACTGCAGGATCAAGTAATCCTCAAAAGATGCTCTCTGCAAGGCTCTCTCCCACATCATCTGATTCTGAACACTTGGATTTAGGTCAAAACATGAGGATTCCAGTAAGAAGCAGTGATAGTACAGTATCTGGTGCATCTGAGACTCAAAGTGCCAGTGACACCAGTATCTTGCCTAACCAATTACAAGTTCATCATCAAGACCTCAAGGAAGTAAACTGTCAGCAGATCTGCAGGGTACCGTACGAAATGCTGAAGCCTCAGCACTCCGCTGATGCCTGGGGACAAGCTTCTTCAGTCAATGTTGCCTGGTCACCTGTCTGTTCTAGTCTAGAAGACCACCTAGATACCGCATCCTGTGGCCCAGTTAAGCTGCCTCCCGATGTGACTTGTAACTCACCTGGAACACCAACAATAGATGAGCCATGGTCTGGGACAACACCTGGCTGCAGACAAGGCTTTCTAAGCCACATGGTTACAGGGCAGTTGTCAGAAACAAACTCGATGTGTGATGCAAAACGTTCCAGCCTTGAGCATGCTGTCGTTGAAAACTGCCTGCTAAAGGATGCTTCATCCTTCATTGTGAGTGGAAGAAATAACATCCATGATGTTTGCTCAGGAAGCAAAATGGGTTGCAGTGCTTCTGCACCAGGAGTTGCCACAACCTCTGAAGATGTATCAGACGCTGAGCTGAACTGTATTTGTGCTGGTCTGGAGGTACTGGGTCTGAATACTGGTGTCAAGGGGAACTCAGACAATTGTTCAGGTATTACTGCAGCTCTTGTAGGAGCATCCTCCTCTAATGCAGCGGACCCGGCTGTAGGCAACACGGAAACTCAGAAAAACTGTGCCTTTTCAACTGGGCAAGAAAAGCAGCTGTTCAGTGGTGCTGCCTCAGAAGATGATTCTGGGTGGCTGGCCTCCCAAAGGCATTTAGAAAACTCCGAAGAATCCTCTAGAGCAGAAACAGAAACAGAGACCGTGGAGGACAACGGCAACAGAAACCCCCTGAAAAGCAAAGGCAGTCCTGAAGACAACTGTCAGTTGCATGGGCAGCAAAATATGGAGATAAAAGTAACATCGACCCCAGTGAAACAAGAAGGGAGGGTGAATCCAGCAGCTCCTTTGACCTTGGAGATCCTGGAAGGCTGCTATACTGGGAATTGCTGTCACAGAGATGGTTCACAATTAAGTAAGTTAAACTCGTTTCTCCCTTTCCCCAAACTCTTATCGGGATGCTTGTTTTCACCCACGTTTTTGCAGAAGGCAGACAGTTCTGGTTAGAAGCTCACAGGGAGAGGAAGGAAGAAGCTCTAGGATCTAGAAGAAAAAGTGGTATTTAGGTTTGCTCAGAGGGTGTTGGAAAAGCAGGTGGTATAAAATGCAAAGGTACTAAGAAATTAAACTGGACTGAATGGTCAGAAATATTCTTAAAACACAATTGAAAGATTTGAACCTGATAACTTTTTCTGAACAGAAAATATAAACTCCACTGTAAAGCTTGTATTTAAATTGCGTAATGGAATGTGTTTCGTTCACTTCTCCAGCTGGATTCTGGGGCTGGTTGTAGAAAAATCTCCATTTTTGTGTAACTCATAATAACAATGTGAAATTCATAATCACAACTGGACACTGACAGAAACTTCTGCTGGGAGGTGGAAATTATGGAGGTGGCTGCCCAGTATCTATAGAATAGCTGTGCTGTTGTCAGCCCCTCTGAGGATTCCTTACTGAGTAGGTGTTCCCCAAATAAACAATGGAGGAATTCACTTTAAGAGCTCAGAATTTTGTCCTAAGATGTCTGCAGGCTCGTTCAACACTGAAGTTTCAACCTACCCTTTTAACTTCCTCACGTGTTTCTACAGGTATACTCTTTGAAGTGAAATGTGTAGAGCTGCAGGAGCCCGCCATGCTTTTCTGTGTCTGGGTGGTGAAAGACCTTCTACAGAGCCAGAGAGAAGCTGTAGCAAGGACTCAGCTCTTGCTCTCCAGCCTAGCAAGCTCTGCCCAGTCTATTGCAGATCTTTCTACACGTAGTCTTGGAGATGTAAGAAATTCTACTGTTGTACAATACTGAGCGTTTCTCTCCTCGTTTGGCTGTTCTGCTGAAGCTAACGTTGAGAAGTTTTTCGAATTAAAGTAATGTCATAAGGTGGTGGGCAGATAGTGCTGTCTCTTTGTTTCCCTATTTTTAGGTGAAAAGAAGAAAAGCCCAAATTGCCATTTTGTAACCTTCCTGGTAGCTGTGTATTTGGCTCAGTTCCAGTAGGAGCAACAAAAGCACCTCACTTTAAATTTTTTCTTAAGCTGGTTTAAGTGCCTCTACAACAGATGTTTGCACCAGTGTGGCGAGATTAATTTTTAAATCTATATAATCACACTAGCACCAATGACACAACACTATTAAAAAGGAAACACTAGGCTGAAAACTTTTGCCGGCTGACTTGTTTCAGCAAAAGAAAACTGCAGGTTTTGGGTGCCTCCTGGGCTGCTGCATGGGGGATGGTGCACAGAAAGCTAACGCTGCGTAGCTGAGCAGTAGGTACGTGGCAGTGCCCGAAAACCTGAGCACAGAGCTGCTCAGTTAGTAGTGGGATGTAAAACTGGCAGGATGCTCTGTAGTTGGTAGTGGGATGTAAAACTGACAGGACTTTGACCCAGGCTGTAGTTACCTTTGATCAATTGAAACAGGTAACCGTGATCATCTAGATCCCTTGAGTAAAATGTGTGCATTCCCTGGATCTTTACCTAGCTGGATTTTACGATGACCATACCAGAGACGCGCGTACGTGTTCAGACATCACGTGTGTAACGTGTAGTGGTGACGCCTCCAAACTGCAGGAGACTCTGAGGAGCTGGAGCTGCTGTTTGTCCAAACGTACCACAGATTAGCTGGGTAGTTTCCCTCCCCTGCCTTTAATCAGTGAGATGAAGTAGATCTTTGAGTGAAAAGTTTGACTGTTCCCAGAACTTGCTATTTGGAATATTTGTAATGAGCCTTTCAAGAGCTGAGAAATAACACTTACCTGGAAAAATTACGGCGTTGAAAGTAACCTACTTCTTATTCATCAAATAAAATTGTCATTTGTTGAGAGACCACAACAAATTAATTTTCCTACTTGCACAGAGAATTTTGGACGAGCATCCAAGGTGCACATGCTTCTGTTTTCTTTACCTTTCCCTGAATGGAGCAGTATTTGGAGCTGCTGAGAGATGACTGTTGACTTGACTTGTCTCATATGGTAATGGTTACATCATCATACAGTTCTTGCTGTCAAAACCAAAGATCGCGCCTTTTAGCTGTTCTTGCAGATGTGTCCTTTCGTTTCAGTGTTTACTTCATTTTATAAATGGGATTCTGTGGCTTGCTCATTTTTCCCTTGCTTTTTTCATCTGTACTTAGGCCATCAGATCCACTTCGCTTTTTGAGAGTTCCCGAAGAACTGAAGAGCTTGAAGGATTAAGGGCATGTGAGGGAGAATATGCAAAAAATTACAGCACTCTCAGTCTTATTGGCAAAGGATCTTTTGGCTTTGTCTGGACTGCCAGGAGCAAGAAAGATCATCAGGAGGTTAAATATTTCTTTTAGATCTCACTGCAGTAATTATTTAGGATGGAAACTGGGAGGTCAGAGTGTTCGTATTCTGTCAACACTGTGCTATTAAAAGCTGGAATTTTGTAGAGTGGGGTTTTCCTTTTAAAGAGAGATCTGAAATCAGGAAAAGAGGACGGCAAAACGTTCACGTTTATGTCGTGTATGAGCTGTTACCTAAGACAACAGGCACAGGATGAGACTGACAGCCTAGCTCATCTAACCTGTTGAAAGAAGCACATGTTAAGCTTGACAAGAATTACAGGTTTTAGTCTTCAGTTATTTATTCTTCTTCTCTAAAGAGAATGACAAACTTCAGTGTCTTTCTCGTGCCACGACTCAAGAGTGTGGACTAGAGCTGTTGAGGCTATGGGACCCTCCTCTTTATCAGCAGAAGTATTTTGGGGTTGGGAGGCAAGTTCTGGTGTTTCTCTGCAGGGATGGGGAGTGCCCGTTTCCCTTCACTGCACCTCTGTGCCAGAAGTCACCACTGCTGTAACTGGGTCGACAAGACAGCTGGCCTGTCAGGGCCTTCGGAATTCAGAGCATCAATGAAAAGAAAATAAATATATTCCATTTCTGTGCATCACCTGATTTCAAGGACTAAACTAGTTTAAATATGTTTAAGGGTACTAGAAGCAATGCACACTGGCTTACTTCTGCCCTTCTAGTAATATGATTCACTAACATTTTTCCTGGAAATGAAGTTGCTGAACACTTGAAGCCCTACTTTTGCAGGTGATGCTGAATGCTGTTGTCTGTGTAGGTGGTCGTGAAGTTCATCTGGAAGGAGAGGGTACTTGAGGACTGCTGGGTAGATGATCCTGACCTGGGGAGAGTTACTCAAGAAATTGCAATCCTGTTGAAGCTGCAGCACCCCAGTATCATTAAGGTACAGTGAACTCGGAGCAAATGCAGTTTGAACTGCATCACATGGTTCCTTTGAATGCTCGGTGTCTCCTGTTCCTCTTGAGGAGTGAGGAGGTGTCCTGTATTAAACGTACCTTTTCAGGAAAGAAAGGAACCTACCTGCTTTCTTTTGAAGGGTATGTTACAGCAGACTATCGCTTGCTTCGACACTTTTACCTTGAACAATTGATGTAAGCACAGATCTGAAGGTGTGACTCTAACAGAAAAAAAAAAAAATCTGTGTGTTATTTCAAGATGATAGGGTGCGTATCTTGGAAGCGTGATGTCATATCTGAACATGCACTAGTTCAGTAAATAATCTGGATATTAATTCCTGTTCTTTGTTTTGGAGTTGTTGTGGTGTTTGAGGTTTTTTTCCCCCCAGAAAGAGAATTCCTCTTGGTTTTAACTCTGCTCTCAGTTTTGATTATGCTGTCTTTTCAAGAAACATTTGTGCTCAGTGAAATGAGGCCTCAGAGATTATAATACGCATTGATTAACTCTCCAAGAGGAGGGCAGTGTTTGTTTAAAAATTCAAAAAGGCAGTTTGAGGATGAAGCACGTCATTTAAAAAGCCTGTTATTTATAGGTGCTGGATGTATTTGAAAATGAACACTTCTTCCAGCTGGTGATGGAGAAGCACGGATCTGGGCTGGACCTCTTCACATTCATTGATAATCGACCCAACCTGGATGAGCCGTTAGCGAGCTATATATTCAGACAGGTGAGAGCTGGCAACACGCAGTGGCTACGTGCGTGTAATACTTGGCTGATATGAGAACCAGGACCCCATTTCACTCCAAAGAATTACTGGCCAATCAGCAGGCACGCTGAACTGGAGTCATAGAATCACAGAATGGTTTGGGTTGGAAGGGATCTTGGAGACCATCTAGTTCCAACCCCCGTGCCATGGGCAGGGACACTCTCCACTACACCAGGTTGCTCAAAGCCTCATCCAACCTGGCCTTGAACACTTCCAGGGATGGGGCAGCCACAGCTTCTCTGGGCAACCTGTGCCAGTGCCTCACCACCCTCAGAGGGAAGAATTTCTTCCTTATATCCAATAGAAATCTGCCCTCTTTCAGTTTAAAGCCATTGCCCCTTGTCCTGTCACTACACGCCCTTGCAAAAAGCCCCTCTCCAGCTTTCCTGTACCCTCTTTAGGTACTGGAAGACTGCGATAAGATCACCCCGGAGCCTTCTCTTCTCAATACCTGCAGAACTTCTCCAGGCTGTAGGGCTGATGGGTAGCTAACTGAACTGCCACCTGCAGAAACCTTTTTCAGGTTTACTGAGAAACCTGTAACAGGGAAAACTTTACAGGACCTAACTTCACCTGAGGGTTTCCTCACGAGCCATCACCTCTTGGCTCTGGTTGTAGCAGCGCACACCCCCTGTCACCAGGATGCCCGTTCGTGTAGCAGCCACGTTTCCTCTGCGGAAGGAGGAAAGTGCACAGAAGTTGCCCCAAGCCTCACTAAAAGTCACACTTTCACTTAGATCAGTGCTTGGTTTAGATTGGTTATGGGGGTCAAGGGCTCTCCTCTTGTTAAGGAGTTTAACATCAAGATATTATCTTGGAATTTAACGTGGCATGATGCAAAATAACTCAAGGTAGGTGACTGTGGGTCAGGAGCTTGCCTGAGAGCTGTACTGTCCCTTGTTCATTGAGCTAACCACAACAGCAGTCTCCAGGTAGTTTCCCCTCCCGTATTTTGGAGTAAATTCCTCGCTCTAAGGTACGCCAGAAGTACTTTGCACGTGGAAACCCACCGCTGTGTCCACACTCCCTTCGCCTGGGGTGCCGATCGAAGACGGTAGCCGAAGCGATGCCCCTCTCTGTGCCTGCTACACGTTCACACATCGCAGCCTGCAGCCCTTCAGGCTCCTGACAGATAAGCCCTTTTCCCAAACCAGCCCCGAGTTTGTAGGGCTGCTTTTTTACTTCAGACCTGCACAGTATTTCTCTACAGAGGGAGCTTTGTATTATAAATAGAAACTTTTCTCCCCCAGCCAGCTGCTACTGTGGTAGGGATCACGATTGTCTCCAAGGTAATATCATTCTGATGCTCTTCTTAATTATGGCACTATAGCACGAATCGTGCGGAAAGAAGAATGGAATTTAGGAGTGACTCTATTATTGATACCAAACTTCACTCTTAAATGCTTTGTCATCCTGCAGTATCGCAGGCACCCAGTCATATCCTTCTGGGGAAATCAAAGGACCCTCCAAATGAAGCAGGATAAAAATAGAGTAACCTGCAGGATTGTAACAGTGAGCTCTGATGCTTCTCACCAAAAAGGCAAGTGCATCGTGACTGCAGCATGCCGCCTTCCTGCACGTCTGTGAGAGGAAAGCCAGCAAAGGCTTCTTCGTGTCTCTCTCCCAAGAGTGTTGTACACCCACTGCAGCAATGCTGACAGGCATGCCTGGGTTCGTTCCCAGTTACCAAAATTAGGATCTGTCTTGTTTATGTAGTGTCGAAACAAGCCAAAACGTGGCTGCCAAAACTCTGTGGTGCCACATAGACTATCCAGAAGGACACCTCTATGTTGTAACACCTAGTTCTTTCTTCTTCTTTCAGCTTGTATCAGCTGTCGGGTATCTCCACTGCAGAAACATCCTTCACAGAGATATCAAGGATGAAAATATTGTCATTGCTGAAGATTTCACAATCAAATTAGTGGACTTTGGTTCAGCTGCCTACCTGGAACCTGGCAAACTGTTTTATACCTTCTGTGGGACGATTGAGTACTGCTCACCAGAAGTGCTCTCTGGCAAACCGTACGTCACCCTCTGAAAAGTAATTTTTGTGTCCGTGGCACCAACAAAATGTGCGTGCAGGGCTGGAATAGAGAAGCTGAGCTGCTTTGCCATTGGCACTCTGCTGGAGTACCCAGCCTCAGGAAACTGCAGTGTGATTTAGGGCACTGCAGTGACAAATCACTTACAAAGGTTTGACTAAAGTGGGGCGCTGCGGTGACAGAAATCACTTGGAAAGGCGTGAATGCACGCAGAGTTGTTTCTGTCTGAGTCTGTTGACAGGCTTTCTGATTCTGGTCAGGTGTTTTGCAAAGCCTTGCACTAAAGTCTGTCCTACTGCAGAGCTGAGTTCAAGAACAAGCCTATGATTTGGATTCCCAGCCTAGTAGAGAGGAGTCTGGACGAGTCGTGTTGTGACATGAACGTGTCCTTTTCCCTTATCTTTCCTAACATGTACATCAGCTCGCTAATGTTCTCTCCTACCTGCGTGTGAGCATGCTGACATCTCTCCTGAAAGATGCTCTTTTAGAGAGGTGGTATAAGCAAGTATTGCTGCACAGCGTCTGCCTCTTACCGTGTCTCGGGTTTGTACTTTCCCCTCTGTCATCTCACCTGTTCCCTTCTTTCCCGCTTGCTTCCCTGTACAGGTTCTTGCAGTTTGATCATTGTCCGTCTCCCCATTGATTTCTGCACCCCTCTGGACTCAAGGGTTCTTCCCCTGGAGCTGGTCTTGCTGCTGCCTGGGATGTGCTGCCCAGACCGTAGCTGTCTTTTCCCTAGTCTCTCCTTCTCTGAGTGCTCTCCACCTGGAGGCTGGCAGTCACATAGCCACTCCTGGAGGGAAGCCTGAGCATCACAGGGTGGTAAACACTAACTGTACGTGCAAGTACGTTATCTTGCTTTCATTTAACAGCTGTTTTCATGGCTCCTTCAGGCAGCTGCTGGTCATGGGGCTGGGGAGAAGCAGTGCAAGGAGAGGAAATCCCTGCGGGGAACAAGATGAAGCAGTGCTGCCCTGGGAATTCAGCCTGTGACTGTGTGAAGAAGCTGTCTTTTTTTCTCAAATGGAAGCTAGATAGTTAATATTTCTATCCAAATAACTTCAGTTTTCAAAGGGATAGGAGGAGGTAGATGAGATTGCACTGAAGTGCCTGATCTTCCATTTCAATGTTTACTTGATAGTTTTGGCTCATGGTGAAGAAGGAGGAGGCTTAAGTTCTCGTCACCACCTTAGGGGTGGAAGTCTAGGTGCATATTAGACATACTCATCAACTGCAGCTGGTTGGCTGTTCTTTGTTTGTCTCTCACAGACAAGGACAACACAGACTTCTCAAAACCATGAGAACCTTATTAGAATTCTGTCAAACCTCCGAAGCGAAAAGAAAAATTGAAAACAAGGGCTATCGACTGCCTTTTTACTTTCTTTCGCACACAATGAGGTGTTTGCAATCTGAGTTCATGCAAGTTTATCTCTGCGTAGGTACCACGGCCCTGAGCTGGAGATGTGGTCACTCGGTGTCACCCTTTACACCCTCGTATTCGGAGAGAATCCCTTCTGTGAGCTCGAGGAGGCCATGGCAGCTGTCCTGAGTCCTCCTCGGCCTGTGTCAAAAGGTGAGTTTTTCCCCTTTGCTTTTCTAAAGGAGCAGAGCTCTTAGGAGAGTATGAGCAGTATTTATTCTCCAGGAATAAAGGGGAAGACTGGAAAAATGCTTCCGAGTGTGCTCTGCACTCATTTGGAAAAGTAAGTTCTGCAGTTCTTCATGCCTGTGATGAATACAGCCATCTGCTGTATGTTTTATCCGTTTCAAATTCCAGGCCTCCCATTTATTGTGATCATAGAATCACAGAATCATCTGGTTGGAAGAGACCCTCAAGATCATCGAGTCCAACCATTCACCCTGCACTGTCCGGGTCCCTAAACCATGTTCCTCAACACCAAATCCACACGGTTTTTAAACACCTCCAGGGATGGGGGCTCCACCACCTCCCTGGGCAGCCCGTTCCAATACTTCACAAAATACCTCTAGTGCACTACTTGCAGATCGGTACCGGCACTCATGTAACTGAAATGCCAGTTTCGTCTCCCTGGAACTATCACCAGTCAATGCCGTATCGCTTCTGGGATGGATGATAACACCCTAATTTATCATTTCTGAATGAATTGTATGGCTTGGCCTCACAGGAAAAATCCATTGGCCTTGTTTTCTGTTGGAGGTATAGAAAGCTAATTGTGTGTCAGGCTAAAGAAATCCCCGTGCACAAGTCCTCTGGGGTCCTTAGGAGCACTGTGGTTACGAGGCTTCAGCGTGCGGCAACTGACTGGTAAATTCTGGAAGCTTTCCCTGAACCCTGGGGGCGGCTTTAATCACAGGTCAGACACGGGCTGGTGGTGGGACAGGACTGGGCTGGGAAACAGAGAGTCAGGGTTGCCTCTGTGGCTTCTGCTTCTGTCCTCCTCGGTGTCACAACTCCGCTCTCCCGTCTCTGTTTTCCCAACCTGGAAATCTGAGCCCATTCCCAGAGCAGAGCACGTGTGACTAAGACGGTGGTAGAACAGTAGTGCACAAGGGATTAACGGGGAGGATTTGTAATTAAAATCTGCATTCTTTGAATGTAAACCATACCTTGCATTCCTGGTGTGCCTGAGCTGTTCCTCTTACTGCTGCCTCTCCCCAGGTCTCGGGGATCTCCTGGCTGGGCTTTTGCACCCCATTCCAGAGCAGCGCACGACTCTGGCAATGGTAGTAGAGGATCGTTGGCTGAAGCAGCCTGTGAACCTGGGGGATTATACCTGGGAAGAGGTGTACGCTGCTGCTGGGACAGGTGAGACGTCATTCTGAAGGCTTTCTCCTCCACCCAGTAGGAAGATCTGGTGGCTGGCACCCGGCGGCAGCGGGGCAGCCGGCAGCTGGCTGCCTGGGCACCGTTCCTCTGGAACAGCTTCTCGCCGAGGAGCACTGGTCGTTGTTTCTGTACAGGATGTGTTTCAGGCTGCGAGGCAAAGATCTGGCCGTCTGGCTGCGATTGCTCGTATTTTTATTGGCTGCTTTTACTTTTTGTGTGTAGTTTCACTCGTTATGAAATGCAAATTAATAAACAAACACCTTCCTCTCGATGGACCACCCCG